GTTGTACTCCATCGACATCGAGTGCATGGTGCTGTAGCACATGCGTTCGCGAGTGCCTGAGCCAGTCAGGCCTAGTGAGCCATGAGAGAGGCCACTCGGGACCACTACGGAAGCGACGACGGGTCCCGCAGAGAACGTAGGCAGAACCGGCGCAGCAGTTCTAGGTACGCTGCATTCGATTTACTAACAGCGTGCTTGCATGCCAAGTCTGTTTATTTCAGGTGGTGGGTTTTTAATTTTGTCCTAATGCTTTTCTATCCCATATAAGTGCCTATTTTAGCTCTCTTCTATACACCTACACAAGTCGCTTAAGCCACTTGTAGTTATTTCGATAACATTTTCGTGTTTGTAACATTTCCGTAAAATATACTTCCTGACCTCGTGAGCTTACCTCGTATTTGTTGGTAAACAACTTATTTCATATGCTCACTTATTTAGGAGTTATGTTACCGTTTCTTAATGCATTACTCCATTTATTTTCTTGGTTATCTTTCTCTCAAGTGATTGGCTGTTATTTGACCTCCCAGGTGTGGCTGCGCTTGATGTGCATGTTGACAAGGTGTCTATTACCCACTACCTCGTCCATATTGGCTCTAGGAGACAGTTGGTCGTTACTGGAGGGGACGGGGTGCACGATCCTTGTGACCGTGCTAGTCTCGAAGAGTGTTTCCATGCAGTCAGTGTGGAGCGGACTACGGTCCAGCCACCGCCTTGTGTGCGGTTGATTCCCAAATACAGCGTGCTTGTGTTTGTCTGTGAAGGAGTGTGGGCCGGCTCCGTTGATGAAACGTGGTTCCCATCCACATGCCTCCCTGTCTTATTCCTTCGGGTTTACGCTGGATATGGAGTGTGTGGTTGGAGCTGTGGGTGGTGCAGCGCAAGCCATCCATGGTCCCTCTGTCGGTGCAGGCGTCCTGTGGCTGGCCACTGTGACAGGCAAATCCGAAACCGGATGCCGCCAACCATAATGATCACAATCTTTGTATATATATTGCGCAATCGGAATCACGGCGGGATTGAAAAACTGGATTAGAGTACACGAAGAAAGATAACCAACGGCTTTTTATCCATTTTCCAAATCACGGTTTTTGAGTTTGTTGGATCTTTTTATTGGGGAATGGAAAGGGAATCTCCACAACAAGCAGATACACGCGCGCCACTGAGTTCGTTTTCGAGCCATCGGCGCTCGTCATCTTTGGGACTCCCTTCAGGGATTCGTGTAGGACCAACCGAGGCCATCTGTTTTGTTTGCTTTTTCATCCTGCTTCTCCATATTGTATGCTGTCCACCACACAACCTCTTCTAGCTCTATCCACCGACCGCGAACAATGTGCGACACTTAAGATGCTGAATGGCATACGTACTATGTGTCCAAGCAGTCGTGCCTGGCGTAACGAGTCAGGCGCTTCGACGAACTGGCTCTCTCCACCCAATACACGCTGTCTGACTGCAACGTGCGTTACGTGGTACATCCAGCACACTCGGTTAATAGACCGCAAGCAACGGTTCTCGAAATCAGACAGTAGGCACAGGTTATCGGTAATGGTTGGCCAAGTCTCTCAACAGTACAGCGCGGACGGTCGCACTATAAACCCGCCCTTTGATGGATAGATGGATAACATAGCGCCGCCATAAATGCCTCAACCTGGACAAGGCGAGACGAGCTCTTGAGATGCACATCAAAATCTCATTTCCAACGGCCGCAGTTGCAGTGATGTAGCTTCCCAGTTAGATAAAACTCTTTATAACTTCCAACTTTTCGCCATCGATGCCAGTCTTGAAAAAGTGTTTTGCAATTGCATGGTGATAAGTGCATGCCATACTTCGACTTTCAATCACCAAGCGGTTACTTGCAAGTTAAACGGCCTGCGAACCGTCACAACATGAGGATATCATCAGTATAATCCAGATCAACCACCCGACTACCTGTTAGGCGCTTATCGCCAGAATTCAACAAGTCTTCTATGGCATTTTTGAGTATATACTCAGTGGCAAAATTGTAGAGGAATGAAAAGATAGGGCATCCTTGTCGAACCCCACTGGTGACAACAAAGGAAGGCATAAGTATGCCATAAGCCTTAGCTCTACCCGAGGTCAGACTAGACAGAGCACGCAGTACGGAAACCAACTTCCCAGGAATGTCATTCCTCAACAGACTGCCACAATGCAGCCACGTCGACAGAATCGAATACAGCACGGATATCCTGGAAAACAACAATCGTTGGTTTTTGCCACAAGGGGCGGGGCTCAAGAATTTAGCTGAATGTGAAAATCTGATCGATGCAGCTGCGATCAGGGCGGTACGCAGCCTGTTCCTCTCACTGTAGTGATTCACACGTTTGGGATACCTGCAAAGAATGTTGGACACCATAATCTTGCAATCGACGGGAACAAAACTTATGCCACTCTATTTGGAGCAATTTGTCCACAGACCATTTTTGAGGATGCAGACGACTATCGGCTCACTCCAAGCCAGGCTTCTGGGAACAAAGCGGTAAGTTCTCTAACCAGCGAGTTGCCCTCATCTTTAACTAGAGCAGGAGATGGACCATCAGGGCCGAGTCTCTTATAACGCTTTAGGCGGCAGAGTTCTCGCTAGTGGAGATTGTCCACTCATCACGATTGTGCGCCCCAGGGGAAACATTTGGAGCTGACGATCAGGAAAACTGCGAGCGAACATGTTCGGCGTTTCGCCCCAACCGTCGTTGAAGATTCGTGATGACGGAGCCATCCTCTACGCAGATTGTTTCTCTTATTCTTGAGCGGAAGCCTTCCCTGACGCATGAGGTGGAACATTTTTCTGGTATTGCCAGAGATTAGCAAGTTCAGTCTCTAACACGTTCACACCACCAGATCTCACAGTCCTTCTGTAAGCTCCTACGCAACGTTCGATATAGGGTTCGGCGTTTCTCACTACAGTTGTTGTCGGCTGGGATCAAGCATCGTCTGTCCATCAGCGACTAGGCAGCAGTGAAGATCCAGCTTTTCGCCGAGTGACAAGCAACTCCACAACTGACAGTACTGGCAGAAATTAGGGCGTTTTTATGTTATAATCTTCTCACTAGACGCGATTCCGAAATTGACACCTTACTTCTCCACGAAACTTCTAGCTTAACCGAAGGAAAAAGCAGAACGCTAATGACCTTGACAAGATAACCTATTAGTCGCCGTCAACAAACACCATACAACTACCGCGGACCTTGGCTGTATTTATGGGTCTCTTACTGACCTTCGACTTATAGAATTAGAAGGTCAGTTACCAGGGTTAGTAGTTCCCTATAGATTTTGCCGAGGTGTCAGGTGGTTTTTAGTCACGTGCAGAAACTAGCACCTTCCAGAACGTTCGAAATCGATGTGTTAATCGTTAATCATCGATCAATTGCTAAAATAAAGGATTTTCTAGACAATTCTTACTTTCTCCCGGACACTTTGATGTGCATCCATTGCGAATTCAGACCATCGTCAAAGGAAGAAGCATGCGGTGTCGACTGAGAAGCCTGTTACTTGGCTAACGTCGCAGGATGTTTCGAATTTTCAACCTTCATCCGGTAGTGGGTACATCTTTATGATCCTCCCAAACGCATGCATATTTTGGCGCGAACCAGTGCGTGGTCGGAGTTCAGACAGTTTGAGGAGTACCATCGGCAGTGCGTTACGTTTCCGCGCCATCCGTAGCTTATTGCTATGTGGTCAAGTTGGGACCACTCTTGCGTTTGAGAACGCTGACGCCATGTAGTAGTCTGTCTTTTCGAATGCCGAAAACTTGTATTCGAAAGAAACAAGCAGTGATCTGAACAAAAAGTCAGTAACCTGACTCCATTGTCTGATCCACTGCTGCTGAGGCCTAAACTACCCCCAAGATAGTGCTGGCTTAGTGGCAGGCGGCCCACTCGTGCGTTAAAATCTCCGGCAAGAATGACAATGTCAGACATTTCTGAGGAACGTCGTAGGTCATGTAGCTGTTGGTATAAACAATCCTTTACTGCATCCGGACTGCAGTCTGTAGGAGCGTAGGTGGAGATCATAAACAACGCACGCGTAATTTCTCGACGCCTATTTAACTTACATGGACCTCGTAGTCTGAGTACACTTAGCTGGCTGTTGACTGGGATCCAGTCAAGCAAAGCGGCCTCAGCCCTGTCACTCAGTGCAACCTCAACACCCTCTTGGCCAGAAGCGGCGTCTTCTGTGTCTCCGGAAAGGCACAAGTGGTATTTGACGTTAGGGTTTACCGGAGAGGTCATTGTGATGACGGTACTGGTGTCTTGCAACCTGATCACGAAAAGCTAATAGATGTCCACCGAGGGAGTCTCAAGGGCGCGTGCCATGCATGTATGTCGTCTTATCTGTATCCGAGTGCACACACTGAACGCCGCAAGGCCGAATGGAGAACCGAGTCGAAGGTCCTTGAGCACTCGGAAATAATTTTTGCTTCCTTGTGCTTTTTTAAAAAGCACCGTTAGATTTCTCTGCTTGCACTCGCTATCTTATGGTAACTTACTTTGCATATTTATCCCTGTGAATCACATTTGGTGCATTTTTGGACCATCGAGATTTAGGCGGTTTGTTACCATGCATAGCCTTTTTCATTGTATATCCTATTTGAATACACCGCAGTGCTTTGTTTACTCGCGTTGTGAACCAGAGCTCCATCAGATAGTTCAGATCAAGTCTGTCGCCGTAATGGTCACAAACCTTTTCAGTAATGTGGAGGTCGCAGGTACGAGCCCAAGTTAACCATTTAACAATTCTCACTATATCCTTAGCCTTCAGCGAAGCGTCAATACAACGTACCGAAGTACTGCTGATGCCCTTCTGCGATCTTACTTTGATGCATCAGAACCATCGCCCCATTTACGCAACCGGTCTTACTTAATGATGTATGACTGCTCACTGAAACACTTTCTGGTTCCACTCGATTTGGAACCACTTCGCATCTGTTATCGTGTTTTTCTTTAGGTCTGTTACCTATGTTAACATAACTGTATTTATTATCACAGGGCAGGGACCCTACAGATGCGACCATTGTGGTAGATGCTTCCCTCAGAAGAGCAATCTGAAGCGACACGTTGATACAGTACATCTAAGTGAGTACTTGTTTTTAGTGTTCTTTGTTTTAGAATTTTCCTAATGTACTTGCATTTCTTCTACTAAATATCATCAATGTACTGCTGAATTGGAGCTCTATTTCACATGATTCTATGCGCTGGTAGGACGTTTGTGGTCAAAATGCGCTACGCTCTAATAATCCCGCCTTGGTGGTAAATAGTTTGCCAACCGACTGCGCTGCTCGGCACGCACACGTGTGCACTCAATTTGGGCTACCAGTCTTTCGAGTATTTCCGGTCTTGTGTCGTGTTCTCTCCTTTATATCCTGTGCACCACTCGTGATTGGCGTCACAAAGCACGGATCTCATAGTATTTGCGAGCACATTCTGGCGTTCTTTTCTACGAATACGAGGTGTGGTTTTCAGACCACTCTGTTATGTCGCACCTCCTAAGATAGAGCCATACAGCTTCGTAGAATGATTCCAAAATCTTCTACTCATTGTGCGATCTTAAAGTTTCGGTTTTATCATTCGAACAACTTAGAGATCAATCTCCTCGTCAATTTTAGGCACACCACAGATTGACAGTACTATGGATAGGTTATGGTCTGGTTGGCGGAAATTTCCGAATATTGCACGGATTTTTGGTCGTTATCTCTTTTTACCTACTTTATGTTCTTCGTTTCTGTTATTCACCGTCCACCTCGTGGATTTAATCAAATTGGTTAGTGTTTATAGGTAAACATGTGCGATTAGAAAATCTGCATTCTCAGGACACTATATGTTAATTGGCATATGAGAACTGACTGTGGCGGTGCCGTGGAAGAACATTTCAATCCCAGTTCTAGTGCTGCACGGAAAGTTCCCAATTGGCTCTCAGTTACTTTGCCACTTTGCTATAGGCACCACCTCAATGATCTACTAGTTTCCTTATCCAGACGAAACTTTTGTGTCAGAAGCGTAACGTTGTCCGCAAACTATACCAACTGGTTGTATACAAGCCCTTTTGCAATCAACATGTTGGCTCTTTACCTCGTGAGCGAAACGAGCACCAAGCCATCGTTACTGGTAGATTACTCATACCATTTGTCATTCATCTCTTTCGCACTTTGCGATAACTGCAAATTAACAACCAAATCTTCACATGACTACTCCTTTTTCCTCAGTATGACCCTTCTTTGCCACGATATAGGCCCTTCATTGGAACAGATTATCCACAATACTCCACCTGTTTCCCCAACATGTTTCCTCATTTCTTATTCACTTTTTGTCTCACAACCAGACGTACGTCCCCATGCATGTGGCTGTTGTGGTAAATCATTTCCTTTAAAGAACGCGTTGCAAAGGCACATCAGTTCTGTTCATTTAGGTGAGTGTACAGTGTGCCATAGTTGAACTTTTCACTTGTTTTCAGCCCAATAAACATTGCGTTCATTTGACATTGAATTCTGATGTTTTTGTACCAATAATTTCCTTTCATTATGCCAAATAGTATGCGATGAATTGTACGTGCTTGGTGCATCTTCTGACTCTTGCGTTTGCCTTTGGAGGAACGTTCTTTTCTGATTTTATATATATATATATATATATATAGATATATATATATACATTCAGTACGCTGAATTCATGCTGTTCGTTTGGAAATCATTGTCTGGGGAGCCGCCTGCTTGTCCCTTGGTTCACACCACACTCGCAATGTCAAACTCCAAGTAGCCGCCTTCTTGTCAACTTTATTCGCGTTGCGCGCATCAGTCATCATCTTAACGTGAGGTAGCTGAACTGAAGGCTAGTTTGTATCGCGTTTATCCACGCAATACAGAATGCATTTGAAGTCGCCTGTCTACCTAGGATAAGGCTTCCGAATGGTAGGTACATTTCCGAACTTTCAGTTAGCCTGGTCATAAATTCCACGGTCCTTGGTGTTATTTCTCACGAACGCAGTAGCTGTATGTTGTCTCAACATGCATCCTTCATGTGCATTTATTCTGATCACGCACGTCTACATTCATTCTTGAACAACTTCCTGAGCATTGCGTAGTTTGTTTTTGCTGCAAGCCTTTATTGAGCGGTTTTCTGGGGTTACTCCTTGTGTTAGGACTCCACTTTAACCCATTGCTGTTGACCATGCACTGTTCTGTCTACCCCTTTCTTTTATTCTGCATGCTCGTAGCGCACTCGTGTCCGCTTTTATTACACCACACTCTCCTTCCGAAGTGTCCACAGTCGTTGCCTTCGCAATGGATCTTTTTGACCTTATAAAGTGTTCGCCTTTCGAGCCTCCTGTTGAGTTCACTGACTTCTGCTCGCTTTGCATCTCCTTGCTGAACAATTTTGTCCACAGTCATTTGCCGGTTGACCACCTCACAAGGCTTCTAAAGATGTTACTCGGTAGCCAAGACTTCAGGGGAGTATGGTTGGTGAGGCAAAGTTTCGTAACCCAGCTCTTGCAGCTTCCGCATGGTTAATTTTACGACGTGTGGCCGAGCATGAGAGCGGGGATGAATACGCCAGTGTTAGAAACATGTGTTGAAGTTTTCGATAATTTGTTGACAATACTTCTCTGCTCTGATGGTTTCGCCTGGATTCGGAAAAGTGTGATGAATCAGACGAGACGCAAACCAACAGTCACCATAACTCTTATTGACTGCAATTTCAGCTTCGGGAACTACTGTGGAGTCTGATCCTGCGTGGAACCACGTTGCATTGCTGCACGATTGTCGAGCGTCGCTTCAACTATTGTCTTAAATTGATCCTCGTTTGTTTCCGATGACCGTCTACAACGCTCCTCATTTTCAAGCCTCGTGACTTTTCCGAACTACGGACGACCACCATTGTGCCGTGTCGTCATTGCTAGTTCCAGGACCAAATGTACAGTTGATGCCACGAGCTATATCCGCTTCACTCGATCAATTTTAATTTGGAACAAGAAATTGTACGCATTTGTCGTCCATCCATTATTCAACGCATATTTTTTAAAGTGTAAAATCGTGTTTGTAAACCAAAGTATCACCACTGATAGCTAGAGCAAAAAAATACAAGATCAGAGCAATCTACCAAAAGAAATTTTAACTTCATCTGTTAAAACTAACATATCGAAAACCGCAATAACTTACTTACCAACCAAAAATTTTCGCATCTCGATCTTGAACCCCTTGCAAACTTACTGCTTTTCCTTTGTTTTGGTTTGAGATTTTTCTATCCTCAGTACCCTAGTCATCGCATTGCAGTTAGTTAGCTGTTAGCTCTTTTGTAACTCTTTTGAATGTGTTCGGCAGGTTGCTGTCAACTTACACGGCTACTCGAGGTCATCGATCGTCCTAGTGCTCCGCTGCGTCAACCAGGTATTCTGTGGATGGGACTAGGTTATGTTCCAAATCTAGGTTTCAGCAGTACTCTGACACATCATGCTGACTCTTTGCTGGCACACCACCATCAACAATCGTGCGTGGGCCGGGTATGTGGTATTTTCGACTGCATCTTTGCGGATTCGAATCAATGACCTCCGCAGGCGTGTAATTTTTTCGACCACTGGCCATTAAGAACGGCTCTCACAAGACAATGCAATATAGCCTACGAAATTCCGCGATTTGTTACTACATTTCACCCCTTATGGGCTATTGCCCTCACCTAATATTCTGGGATCCACGTTGCTTCAACCCAACGAATGAAGTGTTTGGCCGTCAACAATATGTATTGATTACTCGTCTGACAACCGTCCATTCATGCCATTCTGCCCTAGTTCTCCAGTTTCAGAAACCGTCATATACAGTGCTGGTTTCTGGACTCCTAGACAATCCGTTTTTAACAGTTAGCATTACTGGCATGAAAGTGCATAGGTTTAGACCTTCTTACTCACACTTGATGCATGGGCAGGTTACCTCAACAAACCCTTTGTCTTAGTTCAACGAATCCACATCATTTAAAGAAAATCGACTATCAACTTCCACTACAGTCTGATCATCAGCTTCCGCTTCAATTTCATTGGAATCACTGATACCTAGGTCTCACTACCTCCTTGCATCCACATCCGGATTACGGCCTCATTTGCTTGCAGCTTTTCCATATTTCTCGCAAAGTGTCTAGACTGTTGTCTTTGGTTCCTCCTTGCCACCGATTAACGCGACATTCGTGCCGTGATCACCTTGAGCAAGAACTTGCCAGTATGTTGTTCGGATGCCAGCCTTCAAAAATTTTGCTCCATTCATACCAGAAACAAAGCTCAGCATATCGTTCTAGTTTACCATGCCCCGTAAAAGTCCCTCATTTGGTTCTTCAACACTTGGTTTGTTGTGAAGTCGAGTGCCCAAGGGCTTACACTAACCTACTTGCACAGTTTGTCGTCATCAACGGAACCCGAAATTTCCCCATACTCCAATGAATGGAGTTCAGCCTACCGGGGCTAACTCACACTATATATACCAATTTGTGTGTGACTGCAGAAGTAATTTCAATGGAAGTACTAAGAGGTCTCTAACTTCCGATTAAAAGAGGATGTGCCGAGAGGAGCTCAGCTTGAAGATGCCCAGATTTCCTACCTCCTCGAATTCCTTGCTCATGTAGACCATCGACTTCCTCAATGGGTCACCTGATAGAGCTAGACTCAGCGTTTGAATTTATGTTATGTCACACTGATCCCCGCTTCCTTCGCTTTGCTAAGGCTATCGCTATAACTCGGGTGATGCCAGCACTGTGCTTCCAGAAACAATTATTTGCTAGTCTGAAGCTGCCGTGGATGTGGGGGGTGAACTGCCTTCATTCGTTCTGCACCTCAAGCTTTTGTGGTCGCACACACTGTAAGCTGTATTTGTGCCCATCGATTATTGTTAATGGTATTAAAATGACAATGCAAAAAGCGTGCATTTACCAGCCTTCGTCTTCTTTCCGTGCTTTTCAAATTGTTGAACTGATTGCTTTAAAATCTACCATTCAACCGGAGGCTTCAGAATCGGTCCCCATTTTCCTATTTCTCGCTGAGTGCGGTCATACGTCCGCTGGGCTGCTATAGTCTTTGTGAAAAGGATGAAGAACCCTTGGATTTGCAATAAATCGGAATACCTGTAGCTCGGGTGATCTGCTCAAATTTTGTTCTGTTCTCCCAGCTGAACAGTTTCGTTGCAAACGTTTCATCACTCAGTGCAGCGCCCCAACTCCGAACTAGCAATGGTCACAGGACCTGAATCGAAGTGAGCAAGTTCACATGTCACTCGGTCGTCGGTTGGAGTCGACAAAACAACTCAGTTTGCTTATTACGCACTGAAGAAGTCACCACGATTGGTGATGAAACGTTTGCAACGGAATTGTTCAGCTCGGGGAACAGAACAAAATCTGAACCCTTGGATTTCTCACATTGTCCTGCATTTACTGTGAATCATTTTGTCGTGGTCTTGTACTAACGGATTAACGAGACGCAGGTTGCTAGTATTGTGTAGGCAAAGAACTCGGGACAGGATCGGTTATCGGTGAAGTCAGTTATGGTAGTACACACGAAACGCAACAGGCAAGCGGTCATAAGAGTAGTCACCTGTAGTGCACAGTGTTAGGTAGTTCTGAGCATGAGAGGACGTAGCGTCACCTGGTCTCACGTGGGCTAGATGTTCTGAGTCATTAAGGCGCACCGTGTCTATGATCTGGTGCTAACGCACGTAGTTGGATGCGAGCAGTGGGACGACTTGCCAAATGTCACCCTTACGCCTGCTGTGGCCGTATCTGTGCCAAGATCACCCGTGGTACAACTTCATTAAAAAGTAGTAAATACTGCATCCTCAAGATACCACAAGCTAACATTGACTCTGCTCTTTTCATTGGGAAGCACTCTGTGATCCGTGACGGGTAATAATCGATCATGGCGGTGCCTAGAGAAGACACTTTTCAGTCCCTTTGTAGAAAATCTTCCAGTTATTGTTTGACATGTTTGCTGTAAGCGATAGACACCATAACTGCCTTCAGCCATTGACCCACTGTCTCTGATGCCGCGAAGTGTGCAGTCGTTGTTGACAAATTCTGAAACTGGGTAACATTCGTCCCTGAGCCGCCATCTTGAAAACGTCAGAGTCTCGATTACTCGGCTTTTGCTCTCGACAAAATCCCTGATGTAGGCATCTCATATTAGCTTTACCACAGTGGACCGGATGATAATTTTGTCAGTCATGTGGTCGCCATGGTTCTCATTTGTCAGGCACACAACCCTCTGGAAATTATTGAGAATACCTGTAGCTCGGGATGTGGATGAAAAGATTGTCCTGTTCTCCGAGCTGGGCATTTCTGTTGCAGACGTTTCGTTACCAAACTAGGTAACATCTTCAGTGCAGCTATTTGATGCTGATTCGCGGAGTCTCGCAAACCAATGCCAGATCTGAATGGCTATTGATT